GGGCTTTGAGATTATAACCACTAGCTGAGTTTTCATTGCTCTGTTTCAAGACGAAAGACCTATGGATAACAATTTGTTTTGTCGTATACCCTTTTTCATAGGAAGAATGCATGAACCCACATATGGACCAGTTTCCTATCAAAAAATATGTACTGTCTTACCCCTTACATTTCAGTCTCCTGGTGCTGAAGCTCACAAGTGTCTACTTCTTGCAAATGTCCCTTCTTTTTTATTAGCCTATCAAAACAAGATGCAGAAGAGTGGCTTTCACAGAAATAGGTCAGTTTACAAGCTTTCAGTATAATGTGAGCTGCTTTAATAAAATACTACAGCAGTGATTTTGTTCGTTCAGCCTTTGTAATTCTTTGGATCAGCTTTTAAGACTGTATTAAAGTCACCACCAAAACAGTGTTCTAGCTATTAAAATAGCTAAAAAAGCCTTCTTCAAAACCCATCCTCACATGCTTGATTAGTAAGTTCAGTTTTATAGCCTAACTAGATAAACTTCATTACTGTGAATATAAACTCAGAAACCAATTTAGTTGCCAAATAGAATATAAGCCACGTTATTGGTACAGTTCATAAAATAAATTGCTTCCAGTAATACACCCAGGCCTTCTCCCTCCTCCTGGAGACTGAAATTTTAAAACAGAAACAGTGAGCATTGAAAAGGTTCCCTACTGGCCCCACATTCATTCAGGGTGATGGAGTTAAGCTTTCTGTAGCAAGCCCTGTTCACTTTCTCTGATGGAAATCCTGTGTTTGGTACAGAGAAACCACTTGGAAAAAAAGGGCTTGGGTAATTTAATCTCATTTTTTCAATGAGCCTAAGTTAGGAAAAACATACATTTACTGATTTTTCCTAGAAATGTCTCAGTGTTAAATATGTGTGTTGGTACCTAGGGTGACTGTGGGTAAAATCTGCTACATACAGTTTGGGTGTTTATATGTATATATTTTATATATAAAAATAAAACATATATGAGCAAATTTATTTCTTAGCTGCTCTTCTATTGGATGCTCAGCTTCCATTTCTGTAGAATAAAGATGCTAGTTAATACTATAGAATAAGGAAACCATATTCACTTGGAATTCTAGACATCATCCTAAAGCTTATGGATATGATATATGCAAAATGCTAGGTAGTGTTCTGCTTACATTTCAGAGAGCAAAGCTTTAATTTTTAATGCTGAAGAAGTGCTCTTTATCACTGTCTTTCATATCTTCTAGCATATCAGCATTTCAGGCATGTTGCTAAAACAGTTGCCCAAGGTGCTGCTGAACATCTGGATCACTCTCTTTTTCCATTAGGCTAAGTATCCATCATGGCAGGATTAAATGTGCTCATCTCCAAATATAAATGTTCTATTTGATGCTAAAAGGGAAGTGAAAGTTTCGTAAACACTTCAAAATTTTGCTTTGAATTTGTATAACAGGGCAGAATTTCCAATTGCTTCAGCCAGGAAAGCTGATGCCCTCTCCCAAAACTGCTTGGTGGACTGTCTCCAGAGGCCACCACTTTTCTCCCTGCCAAAACAAAGTGTGAGCACCTAGGATACAATTATTTCCACTTCAAGGAAGAAGTGTTTTATGCAAGCTCTCTGCTTAGAACAACATTTAGTCACTGGTAAACCCTACAGTGAGTCAATGGTCCAATAATGGATCCAGATGCCTTAAAAAACAGTAATAAATCACTTAGATAAGAAAGAAAAGGGGGAAAAAGGCAGTAAATGGACTGAACTCTGAGTATTAACACAAGTATACTTAGAATAACAAAATCTTATACAAAACAGCATGATCAAAGGTGTTTCACAACTTCACTTGAATTTTGGGCATGGCTCTGCATTTGAGAAGGTGCTGGCACCTGGCTTTTTTTTTTTTTTTTTTGCAAAAATAGCTTGCCAAAAATATCCTCCCACTTTGCTGAGTTTCCCCATCCCTGAAAAAACAACTGTGTGTCCCTTGCATACATATGTTGTAAAAGAGTATAAACCAGTTACAAACCACTCTCTACCAAGTGTCAGACCTAAGACATCTCTATTTTTATATACAAAAGCTATTACAAACCATCTGCAAAGTGTTTTTTTTAGTTTCTGTAAGATTTTAAAGTATTATTCAGACCAGACTGGCTAGACTGTCTCTTTTCCACTAATCTTTGCTGCAAAGAGAATCAAGCCAGGTCAGAGGCAAAACATTCTGCATACTGGGAAGCCACAACCACATGTTCTGCATGGCCTGGCCTCCTGGTGCCAGGTGGAGTAGCTCACCCATAGGAAGAGGACAAAAGTGCAGCAATGAAATCCATGAAGCCACGGCGGCAGACACATTAGTAGATTTTTGTCTTCATATTCGGTCTCCAGGCTTTTCCCTATATTGCCTAACAGTAACAATTCTGTGTGTAGAATACCCTTGGGACAGGAAGGAGCAGGCCAGCTTGCACAGGGAACCTTTTTACAGCACTTTAAAACTTCTCTCAGAAATATTTGACTTAACACACCAAAACGATTAACTGAGTATTGGTAAATTATTTGACCCACAAACACTGACCGATGAAAAATTCCTGGTTTTCTCTGCATACTCTCATCTTGACACATATCAACGGGTAATAAACTATTTTACTCCTGTTTTCACTTCAACAAATGTCCCTTAGAGCATCATTTTAGCTCTCTCAAAAGAAACACTTGGGTAGATATCTGAAAGTAACTTTATGACTATAAAAGCTTCATTAACTCAGACTTTATTCACATCAACATTTCAAAAGGGAGTCCCTTTTCACTTTCAAATGTTCTTCCAGTCTATCAACTTTTACATCAGTCTCAAAGGCTGGCTCTAAGTCAACAGCTTAATTTCCCAAGTCAAGTAGCAGTACATTCACTTATGCCACTGTATGGGGGCAGTTTGCACTGGATAGCCCTATGTTTAAAAGGGTGTAGACAACAATTTGACAATAAATTGTCCCTGAATAGTAAGCACAAGCACACACACACACACAGAGACAGAGAAAGAAAGCATTTTGCAAATAATAGGATTGAAAGCAATAAACACTCACAGCATTCATGCCCATTTAAAAGGACAGATGGAGCTGTTTGGGCCTATCAGGTCAATAATCCACAAACTAAGAAGGATTTATGTGATAGACTGTAATGGCTTAAATCCACTTTAAGAGGGAAGGTTACAATAACTTGGAACAATGCTCAGTATATTCAGGGGCCTGATGTGGTAAATAAGAATTAACACAGTTATTTAAAAATCAAATGAACAGGTGAAATAACGGGTTTTTAAATGCTCTTTTCCAGATCTTCAAACTGCCTAAGCTTTAATACCAGATGTCACAACAGTGAGTCAGAGGCAGGCTGGCAGAGCAGCCTTTCCCCAGGGAGCAGTGCAGGGCCCAACCTCCCTTCTCTTCCCAGCTTGGGAAAACCAAATGTGCAACCTTGGGATATAATGGGAAGATGCTTATTGCACATGTTTTTTCTTTTTCCCTTAGTTGACCTCTCAGCAATCCCTGACCTTTCACAGGCTCTCACCTGCCATGAAGCAGCACAACCTCAGCTTAAAGGAGGCTGCCCAGGTGCTGATTTCCAAAGGAAAGGAGAAATGGTTTCCACTTGGTCAGAGTGGATCGTCCTTACCTAGCTTGTTACAGGAGCAGGGTGGGTAGAGTTTTTGAAGATTTTGCTTCTTCTGTTTGCTCATCAGTTTTGGCAGCTTGATCTTGGGTTAGACAAATGTGTGACAGAGATTTCATGTGTTCTTTTCTGAACAGGAGTACAATTCCTTGGGTGCACAATGAATCTGATTTAAAGAGGTAGGCATTTATTTTATTGTTATATCTGGGTGTTAATATGAGTTAAAGCTCTCTTCTACTTTTCTGGGTAGTCATCTGTTTCTGTATTCTCTTCTAAAGAGCCTTTCCTGTTTACAGATTCTTGACTGTGGCCTCCTTAGATTTTCCTACCCCATTTCTTAAATTTTCAAACTATTTTTTTACTTCTAAATACATAACATATTTGAAAACTTCTATACTGCAGTCAGGTCAGTAGTATTTTCCTTTCTTTCTCTGGCCATGACATTGTTGTTATGACCGTGTCTGTCAATATTGTTACAGGGCATTAGCTGTAGAAGGCATGCCCTTCCAAGCTAACAAAAGAGGTATATTTAATTGTGTTTAAAAGCTGGGGTAGGTATGAGGAGTACAACCAGCACCTCTAACAGGGAGGCATTTCCCCTCATGCAGGACAGTGGGTACATTCTCCAGCATTCTGTTTGAACCAGCTCATTTCAATTTTCAACCCAGAGAGCAAAGCTCAAAGTACTCCTCTTCCTCCTGTTGCTGAGTAAATGCTGGGTGATGCCTGAGGCACATGGATACTTGTGTTCCCATTGCGTGTCCTACTGAAATTGATAAACAGTTGCAGAAACAACAGAAGAGCCCCAAGGAATGCTGTGAGCTGCTCACCACACATTCATATTGCTCCTTCTCAAGTTCTGCCTGCAGCCCTGGAAGGCACATGGTTAAACACACTGAGCTACAATTTTCCCTTTCTTTCAAAAAGTTCAAAAGACTTACACCCACCAGCAGCAGAAATTTGTGGGAGCTGAACAAAGGAAGGGTGCTAGTAGTTAACTGCTTGGGCTTGGCTGTGTGTGCCTGTTCCCCCAATGTGTGAAATGTATCTGTATGTATAAGATATAAGCAGCTTGAAACATAGAAAGGGTTTTTAATTGAAATGTGTTCTTTCGTTAATATATGTGTATACAAATGGAGCCTAGTCTGTTCTGAAATGTGTTTGAGCTACAGAAAAATGAAGCCCTGGACTTCAATGAGAATTTGATTGTTTATTCTATTTGTATACAGTAAGACTGGAGTGGGATGGGGAAATAATGGTAATTTAATTGATCAGATGCTTTAAGAATGATAGCCCATTTTTAAATGTTTCTTCTATTGGTTTTTTATGCAGTCCTTGTTTTCTGTGTCTTTAGATGAAAAATAATACCTGTTTAGGAAGATGGCAGGGGAAGAACCTTTCAGGTGTCCAGGAGAATTTATGTTGCTTCAAGTTTGGTAGATGTTGTTTTATTTTCTCTCTCTGCTGAACAAAAGGTCAGGAGCAGCATCTTTGAATGTATGAAGCTTCTTCTCAGTTTCCAGCACACTGTCATTCTTTTTCCCATTGAGCAGTGAAGAAAAGTCCTATGTAGAAAAGTTGAAGGGAAGAAAGGGTTGGAGAGGTTTAGCAGTTCAGCATACCTGACATTCATAGTTATTCAGTGGAGAATCTGAGCGCTTTCAGATTCTGGAGAATCTGAAACTTAGCCTCAGAATTAAAGGCATGTTTAAATAATCTTTTAAACTGGGTCCAGAATTACAGCTGAATGTGAAGAAGGTTTTCTGACAGACATAGGAAGAAGAAAAAGTAATTTTAGTTTGAGATGATGAATATTTAAACAGAAAATCATAGAATTAAGGACTAAAAAGAACCACTTGTGGTTAAGAGTTATCTTGAGTGGTCTGAAACAAGGGGATATTTTCAATTTGAGTTTTCTGAATAATTTTTAAATACATTTTGATAGTAATTTTAAATGGATAAGTTGTTTTGTGCTTGAGAAGCAAAATAACCCCACTATGAAAAATTTTAAAGTACAGTGTTTTTACCTTTTTTGCATGTATGTCATACACCCCTGAGCCCAGTGACAGATATTTTTAATAATAAACATTTTGGTAAAATTGATCCAAATTAAAAAAAATATTTCTGTAACTCCATATAGAATCTTTCTCATTTCAAAGAAAAATTTTGTCCAGCGATGATCTGGATGTTGCAGGAGCACTTTACCTCCATAACCTACTGCCCTGCACATTCCTTCAAATGTCAGGGTATATGCTGGCTTAGAAAGGTTATTCCAGCAAGTGGATAACTGAGTGAGCAGAGTAGCAAGAGAGGCAGTGTGTCAGTGTCAGCAGTAAGGCATCAGTCTGTGATGGTGGAGCAAGGGAATGTTTGAATGGAGCTGTTTGTCATGTACTAGTGTGGTGATGAACACAGAAGTCTGGATAAGGCTGAAGGTCAAATTTCTGATATGTACAAGGGGTACAAGTTCACTGGCTGTGGGAGATTGAACATCACTATGCAGGCAAAAGGGTCTTGTGATGAGTTAAGTTAAAAGAAATATGAAAAGTTCTCAGGGGAACTACTGACCCCATTGAACTGGCCAGGAACTTTGCCATATGATGTACTCCACTCCTTTCTCTGTGTTAAAAGATCCAGGGTACCTCAGGGTTTCCATGTCAAAGTGTGCCTCACAGTTGTAAATGGAATAGGAACTTACCTGGGCATGTATTCTGTTTTCCTCTTTGCCTGAGTTCACTCCCCTGCCCAAGCACAGACTTTTTCACACTGAAGCTCAGCTATGAGGGATGTCAAACCTCATCATATCGTAAGAGCTCCTGTCTGGGTCACAAAGAGATAAAATATTCTGGCATACTATAGTACAATGATGTCTCCCTAGTGGTTAGGAACTGTTAGGAACATGAGTCTCTCCTTCCTGCCCCTGTGCAGGATTCCCCAGGTAGTCTTGCCCCATAGGCAAATCTTCTACAATACCAGGTCAACAGCAAGGAACTGAACTCCTGTTGATTATCTCACATTTATGAATGCATTCAAAGTTTCCATATGTGAGGGGAAGATTATTTTAATCATGAAACTTTAAGCTGCTATTTATAACAACTAGAGCTAGCTACATCTGGTGCCTCTGAGCTCAGTCCCTTCATGCAAGGGTTCGTGTCTTTGCTTGCTGCAGAATATTCGTATTTCCATACCCTCCGAGCCAAAGGCTGTAGTACCTCATGAGTCCCTCAGACTGTAGGCACCTACAGATTTATCCTGAGCATGCAGATGTCCTAAAACAATTTCAGTGGTAGAGAGGAAAACAAGTAGGGAAAATTGACTTTAGGTGTTTTGCCTTGACAGAATTTTTTTTGTTCTCCAAGGTGTCAAGGGAGCAGGGTGATATAAGTTCCCTTCAACAGTTGACCCTCTGTGACAACCCATTTGACTTTGCAGCATATTATTTTATGGATCCTTTACACAGTCACTGCAGTTGTTTTAATCTCAGCATTCAAACTGACCAAAGATGTTCCAGCAGCTTGTTTGGAGCCCAGAAATAGGGTGTCCAAAGCTGAGAATTCAGGTTTTATCACAAACTGACCTGAGGGTGTTTATTAGTGGGTAGCTTGTGTTTATTAAGTATTTCAGGCTTTGTCTGTGCCTTCTAATTAAATCAAGCCAACATAATCATACAATCAACATCACAAAAATCAGGTCAACGTACACTATTCATAAATTATCGCAAAGCATCTGTCACATGCTTAATCTGCTTTTTAAAGTGGGGGGCTGCCTTTGCTTAAGCTTGTGTCTTAAGCTACTGCTTTAGCCCCTGGTTGTTTGACAGTGTGTGATAGGAAGGCAAGATTACTTATGCTTGTATGTACAATATGCAGTGTAGAAGCAGCTGACTCACTATCAAGCAGGATCTCTAAACAAGTTGTTTTAATGTTGGAACTGAAAAACTAGAATCCACAGTGGCAGCCCTTCACATTTTTAAGGATAGAGCAGAGGTGGGGATTAAGGAATTGTTCATTCTTTGGTCTGCAATTGTCATATAGCATTTTAGGACATAGAATTCTCTGTGTTGCTGGACTCAGTACATGTCCCTCCTTCTCAAAGTAAACAGTACAATTTCCCTCTTTACTTTGTCTTCTTCAGCTATGGTAAAGATGAAGTGCTGGGGAAAATGGTGTTTTATGTTGCATGCACTGTTAAGAGGGGGGAATATGTAAAAACCACGTGTCTGTCAGTCTTTTGCCTTTTTACCTGTATGAGCTACCAAAACCTTGGAGGAAACATTTGTAGAATATAGAATACAAATTCTTCCTCCTCCAAAGTCAAGTGATGATATAGAATAGCAAATAAAGCCTTCAGTCCAGCCTCAAGCTCATGCGTGGCTCTTGGAACAGTTGCAGGAAGGGGGTAATAACTGAGGTGGTCATTGTTGTGACCAAGACTTCTGGCAATGCCTCTTGTTGTAAGCAGTCTATCTCAGGCTGATCAGACACTGGAGAGTACTGCATTTCATCAGCTATCCTGGTCAGGCCTTCATCACAAACATCTGAACCAGCACCCTTAACAAGTAGCCGAGGAAGAATCAGTTAGATCACACCTATTTGTCTTTTGCATACCTCCATGATTATAAATGAAGGGTCAATTTTAATTAAGGGTGTTGTTTTAGGATTCTTCTTTGGTGTCCGAAACACTGTCTAACCATAATGGGCCTGTCCTTTCTGATGAATGGCACTATCACTTTAGCTTCATATCACCTTCATTGTCCAAGCCTGATTCCCCTGAGGACATACATCACTGCTCTACAATGAAGCAGGATCAAGCAAAATGGCACCAGAACTGGGAATTGCTATGTTCACAGTAATGCTTCTTGTACTCAAATAATATTCTGCTTTAACAGTGGAAAAAGCAGGCAGCCAGTTTCCATAAAGGCTGTGACAATGGATCTGTCAGTCACCTCAACATTTTTATTCTGATAAAATGAGTTTGTTCAAATCTTCTAGAGACTTCTTTCACTGCAGTTGCATATATTTGCATAGTGATTCTCAGATAAGTGCATGCCAATAGCCACTTCTGTGAACAGATGTTGACAGAAGTATCAACAGAAGTATCAGAGGTACATGAACAACGATGTCTTTTTGCATGCACAGAGAGAAATGCATAATCTAGTAGTATGCTGGAAATTTGTTAGTTCTGCCTTCCAACATGTCTATCAAGTCACTGCATGCTAATCAGCCTTTGCAGAAGTATTGATGCTTCGCAGTAATATCAAGCAAGAATTTAGAATAAGAAAGGGAGAACTAGAAGAGATGTGCTGCAGTAATACTGTTAATAGAGAAAAAGTATGTATGCATAATGTATGTATATTTTATGACATATTTTTAAAGAAAAGCAACATTAAATTTGAAGTGCTGTATTTGTCAAACAGTGCAGCGGTCGAACGTGTTCTTAGCTGTTACCATAACAATAATGTAGCAAATATTAAAATAATTACCTAAAACTTCAGTTGGCATAGGCTGTTTTAATAATAAGTGTCAATGAATCCACTTGGCTATCTAAACCTCCCTTGCATATTGGTGTTATCAAGATGAAGCCTATGAAACAGGGACACTTAGTAGAGAGCTGTCACAGGCCAGGATAATAGAATAGAAAAGAGAAAAAGTTTTAAATAAAGTCTCAGCATAGTTCATACAATAAAAATACTCGTTATCTAAAAACTAGTGATAACCTACTTTGCTAACGATAAAAGCAAAGAAGGCATATGTTTCCAGATATTAATATATTTTTCCGGCCAAAATGAAATTATGCAGCATGTAGCCCAAACTCAGAATCAGGGAAGTGAAATGCATTTAATTCTCTCTCTTTCTGTTCCTCCTGTTATTCTGAAGCAAGTAAAGAGTGCTATTCCAGCAATAGCTCAGTTTCTATAACTAAATACAAAATCTGAGAAGCACTTAGACTGTATATTTTTTTTTCAGATTTCTATTGTGACTAATAAGAAATCTATCCACTTTAATTTTTATTTCTCATTGCTGTTTTTTTAAAGGTTGATCATATCTAGCATTCTGTGAACCTCTTTTTTTCATCAGAGTATGCTATACTGGAAATTTTGTTTCTTCTCTTTTAATAGTTGCTTTTGGTTTTGATTTGTGAACCAAAAAAAAAAAATCAATTTTTCCATTCCTAGAAACAGTTTAGTAGCACTTCCTTCTTTCTTTCAATATGGCAAATAATTTGAATTAGACCCTTCCTTCTCTGGAACTTTTTTATTTCTGACAGGAAGCAGAAGACTTGATGAGAGCATGCTAAAAAGGAAGTAGAAGGGCAAAAAGAAGAGGCAGGGAAAATTAGATATTCAGTTGTCAGGTGCAGAAGTCCTGTCCTGATGGTTAGTTTAACTGCTCCAAACATATATTGAGAGTTGCCAGCAGAGGCAACCTTTTGCTAGTGGCTGTAAGGCAAATTTTTTTAAATGCTAAAACAAGTTTCCACATGACACTCTGAATACTTGTCTGAATTTTTGTCCCAGTTTGCCAGTCTTGGTATTTTGGAGATGAGAAGGAAGGAGGCATACACAGTCATACAAAATTCTCAGGTATAAAATCCCAGTTTGCTCTTTCCCCCACTTTTACTAAAAATGATAGGTCCCATTTACAAATATGTTTGCTGTAGACAAACAACAAAGTTTCCTAGAAGTCATAGCTAAACAAGAAAAGTAGAGTGAATTGTTACTTCACTAGAGTGGGTCTGCCCCTACTTCACTATGGGTCTGGCTAATAATTATATATTTGTGAGAGCCTATCTCTGAAATTCCCTGTGGTTTCTCTTGCAGCTCTCTATATAGAGATCTCTTGAATTTCCTACTAGCAGACAGAGAGTGTTAAAGGTTTTCTCTCTGGTTCTTTATTATGGGCATTTTTTATGATACAGGTACATATTGTTGTCACCAAATCTTACTAGAAGCCACACTTCACATAAAGTTTATCAACCTAATTGTTTCACATTGTGCCTTCCTATTTCAGAAAATTCCTCCAGGAGTCATTTCTATCACTCTTTGTGCAAGAATTTTGTCACAGGCTGAAATTTTTATCTTACTGAGTTTGACCTCTTTTAGAGATGCAAGATTCCCTTGACAGTGCTGTAGAAATGTCACTACTAACATTAGATTCCAGTCCATGTTCTTCTTTCTAACTACTTGGAGTTTCAAGCCTCTTCCTGTATCTGAAAACAAGAAGATTGAATTTGGCCATAGAGATTTTGAAAAATTTTCCTTTATTATGATTATTCATATTGGTTGCCGCCGTTTATTGTAATAACTGAACAAGTCTTGAATATCTTGATTTTCTTTAGTGCTCACTGTGGATTGCCCACTCAGTAAGAGGCTGACAGGCTTTGACAGCATTTATGAGCTTGTAGCTGGCACAGTTGCAAAAAAAAAAGGAAATCTTTGAGCTCTTGTAATTATATAGGTGCTAACTCATTAATTGCTGAGAATATTATAATGTGAACTGGCTTGTTTGTGAAATGCTTAGCAATAACTATGGCATAGGCTTAAAGCAGAATCCCGAAAATTAACTTAGTGATCTTAGCAACTCTGTTGCTGCCATTAGATTACTCAACCACAGTGATTCTGTTCTAGAATACAATGCTTGTTCTACCAGGTTTTATAGGACTGACTTTGACACTCAACACCAAGTGCAGTGATGGAGAGATGTGCTAGGTTGTTTAGTAAAATCATAGCAAAACATTCAGACTGATGATGTAAGCTTTTAGATTTTGAAGTTTATAGAGTTACAACACCTTTCTCTGCCAGGGCTCTTGTAAATATTCTG